GAACCCAGGCTCCTGGGTGCGAATCCACGAGCTGGGTTCGCACACCAAGGAGCCTGGGTTCCTCGCGAACCCAACTCGTGGGTTCGCGAGGTGCGAACCCAGGCTCCTCGCAAACTCGAGCTGGGGGTGCGAACCCGAGCTGGGGGTGCGAACCCAGGAGCTGGGTTCGCACCTCGCGAACCCATCGCCTAGATGTAAAAAGAGAAAAAGAAAAAAAAGAAAAGGCCGGACGAAGGAGAGGATGGGGAAGAAAGAAGAGGGTAAATTAGTAATTAAAAAAAAAAAATTTACCATGTCATCAATCTTTGAAGGCAAATCAGTAATTAAAAGTAAAAAATTTAGCATGTCATCGATTTTTCTCACGTGGATTTTCCACGTAATTTAATAAAAAAAAACAAAATGAGTTTTTCCGTTAATTAACCTGCCACATCAGCTAAAATTTAATGGAGGGACTAAAAAGGGGCCGGATTTGTAAACAGTAAGGACCAAAAAGGGAATTTTTCGGTACAGGGACCAAAAAAGGGCTTTTTCCTATAGTAGAGGGACCAAAAAGGGTATTTAACCTAGCAATAACTATGTATGGAACCTCCTAGTTAGGAGCGAGCTTGTCTATATGTGAATAAGTATTAATGAGCCTAGCCTTACGTAAGACTAGGTCACCGACCTGAAACTGACGAGCACACACCCTCTTATTGTAAAATCTGGCAACACGACCTTGATAAACCATGTTTTTCATACAAGATGTCTCCCTAACCTTTTCCACAAGGTCTAGATTTTCTCGTATGAGCTGCTTGTTATCAGAATCACCACACCAAGTAGGCCCCTTATTCAGCAAACCGATTTCCATAAGAATGATGGCCTCAGTTCCATACGCCAAGGAGAATGAGGTCTCACCAGTGGTTGAATTAGGTGTGGTGCGGCATGACCATAACACCTTGTTGAGCTCGTCAGCCCAATTTGATTGAGTAGCTAGGACACACACTTTAAGGCCATGTAAGATGATTTTATTCTCTAACTCTACTTGTCCATTTGACTAGGGCGTGTAAACGAAAGTAAGAGCAAGTTCAATGCCATAATCATCATAGAATGACTTAAGTGTAGTGGCTCAAAACTGAGGTTCGTTATTAGCAATAATCTGCTTAGGGATACTGAACCTGCACAACAATGAATTGGCTAAGCCACATAATATGTGTGCAAATAATGTATATGGTTTAACCCTTTGAAAAGTACCTGCACAATATAGAATTGAATAAGAAGTCTTCTATTTTCTTTTCAATTGCTGTGGATAATGGTTTAGCTTCTATCCACTTGGTGAAATAATCCACTTAGTGAAGTAATCCACAGCAACAATGAGATGTGTACAACTTTCTTTGCCTTTAATGAAGGGATTGAGCAAGTCCATTCCTTATTGAGAAAAAGGCTAAGGTGATGTGAGAGACAATAACATTTCTCCTATATCAAAGGAGATGTTCATGTTTAGCCTAGATACGAGTGTGAATGCGTGGTTAAGCTTATGTGTAAATTCTAGAACGAGCTCGGTACTTGGCATGTGAATGTCATTGGAATTAAACTGGCAAGTTGGACACCTTTTGACATAATTTTGCGCATCATCGACCACATTAGGCCAGTAATATCCATGCCTTAGTAGTTTTTGGGCTAACATTTTTTCGCCTATATGTGTGCCACAAACTCCTTTATGGACTTCCCTTATAGCATTGTAACGCCCCAAAACCCGAATTCGAGGTACGACAGACGCCGTGCACTTGTGAGACGGGTCCCACAAATGCACAAGGCTCGGAACTTAATCAATTCACATCTGATACCACAAAATCTGAAGATCAAATTATAAGATTTTCTCTCATATCATAAATCTCCAATACAGTCTAACTTACAAGATCATGATTTATATCTAAATCTATATTCAATTTACAAAATGGCTAGCCTTCTAACTCGTCACTTCCCGTGGTTTTCCCGTCCTCGGTTTCGCTTCCTGAAATGGTGGACAAGGAAAACTATGAGATAAACTCAGTAAGTAAATATGGAGTGCCCCTTATTAAACTCATAGCATGCCAACATGTGCAATCACGCAAAATGGATACAGTACGGGAACGAAATAGATGTCTCCTCTATAGGTCACGGCCAGTGTTATAAACCTCCCACTGGCAGGCACACGATTTACTAGTGTATAATCCCCACTAGCAGGGTCACTTGTACGAACCGGTTCTATCACTAACATATCGACATGTGCCGACATGTGCTAGCGTTTATAAACTCCCCCACTAGCAGGGTCACTAATAACATGACCACATCGGAGACAAAACAGGCAGAAGTTAACAAAAAAATCATACTTTACCAATCACTTTCAGATCATCAGGACAATCAATTAAATTCCAAGTAGGCATGCTCAATTTAATGAAAAGCATCAAAATCTCATTTCAAATCAATCATGCTCATTTTTATATAAAACGGGTTTAGTTCCACCACCACTTCAAAAACAAATCAAAACATGCTTTTAAAAACAGTACGGGCATTACCATAAATTTACTTACCTCACTCGCATAAAACCGAGCACTCAATCTCAGTGCTAACTAACAGAACGATCAGGAACCTAATCAAAATACCTCAGAATTAATACCGGACTATTACAAATTCACACTGAAATCATCATTAAGACTACCCTTAATCACGATGTTATTTCCTATCAATCTCCACATGATCAGATATCTCCAAATTCGTTCTTATATCACAAACTAATCATTTAAATCCCCGCTAATTGTTGACCCTCGGTGTGTGAACAGTAATCTATGAACAGTGCCATGAACAGTAAGCACGACATGAACAGTAACTTTACTTCCACAAATTGGCCAAAACACTAACTAATTCACAGGATTTTCTCCAAAAATCACATAGCAGTCAATTAACACTCAATCATATAAATTCCACTTGAATCAATGCTTAAATCTCATTCTAAAGTTACCGGAATTATCCCCCATTTTTAGCCAAATTCGGACATCACAAAGCAGCAACTTTAAATGGACAATTTAAGCCTTAAATGGCTGTCACATACCATAATTCTCCAGCTGTAGAAACCGAAGCTGCAGGGGGGAAGAGGCCGGCGGCAAGTTGCAGGGAAAGCTCACGGGTTTACCCAAAAATTGGAGGAACAAGAGCAATTAAAGTAAACCCAGGGCAATTCAAGCTAGAGAAGGGAGATTCATGGCTATTTCTTACCCAAAATCAGAGAAATTCACCCCCACAAAGCAGGAGCAGCCGACGATGAAGAAGGAAGAATAGAGCAGATCTGGATTTTCCAGCAGGGGAAGAAGGATTTCAAGGCTCCAATCTTGCTCTTGAACAAGAAAAGAAGGCCAAAACCAAGCTTATCTCACCAATTTTTCAAAGCTGGTGCCGGCAACTTAGAGGGGGGATTTTGGGAGCTGCAGCGAGAAGAAGAAGAAGAGCAGAATCGGGCTGGAGAAAAAGAGGAAAAAGGAGAAAAGAAATAAGCCATCCTTATCCAATTATTTTCCCTCTTTCAAGTCCCTCAAGTTTGGGAATGTTGGCTATTAAGCCCAAAACAATATTTTCTCACAATCAAGTCCCTAACTTAAATGATAAAATTCTTGAAAATTTGGGATATTACAAGCATACTCAGCTTCATAAGGAGTAAGGTAGCTAATAGGGGCATTGAGACTGATCGTTTATACAACTGACCATCAACTAAGGTGAAATGAGCTGCCTTGTGCATAATTAGTCGAGCCTCAAATGAGTCCCTAGGCAATTCACCATTTTGCAAATAATTAACTAGGGGCGTGGTCCAACTCGGTGATGAAGGATCAGTGCTTAGCACTTGACATTCAGGTACGCGGTTAGTATAACTCGGTGCATCAAGTACCTCAGTGTATGTTGTTCTTTGAGGGTTGATGTCCTGTGACGAAGTTAACTTGGATAATTCGTTAGCCGGCTTATTGTCTACCCTTGGGATCTTGTCTAACTAAAATGAGGCAAAACCTTACTTCAATTTGTTGACTACAGAGGAGTAATGGATGAGTTGAGGATCTTTAATATCACAGCTCCCATTCACTTGATTTACAACGAGTTGGGAATTGCTAAAGATTCTTATGTTTTGTGTTTTCAGCTCATATGTTAATTTCAAATCGTAAATTAGTGCTTCGTACTTAGTGACATTGTTGGTCGCTTGAAATTTGAATATTAAAGCATGCTCAATTTTGAAACCATCCAGACCTATAAACACCACTCCTGCCCCTGATCCCTCAACACTTGTAGCCTCATCTACGTATAATGCCCACATGGGGTGCAAGGCAGTAGTTTCTTCGATAGCTATCGGGTGGCATTTGACTAGGAAATCTACCAAGGCTTGACCCTTTATGTCTGTACGTGGTTCAAATTTGAGGTAGTACTAGCTCAACTCAATCGCCCATCCAATTAGTCTGCCAGAAAGCTCAGGTTTCTGTAATATTTTCCTCAGTGGTAGGTCCGTGGAAACAATAAATTGGTGAGATTGAAAGTAGGCTCTCAATTTGAGCGGTGCAAATGAGGGCGAGAGTAGTTTTTTCAGCAATTGGATAGTTACGTCCTGCAGCTTGCAGAACTTTGCTAGTATAACAGATAGGTTTCTGGTGTTTGCCTTGTTCTCTTAACAAAACCGAGCTGATCGCCTCATCTGTAATTCCCAGTTACAAATATAACTTCTCTCCTTCAACAGGTTTGGAGAGCAAGTGTGGGGACGTCAAGTATTGTTTGAGTTCATTGAAAGTCTGTTGGGATTCATTAGTCCACTGGAAGTTTTTGGGCTCTCTCAAAAGCTTTGAAAACAAGAGGCATCTTTCTTCTAGCCTGGCAATAAATCTATGCAAAACAGATAGGTGATCTGTTAGACATTGCACATTTTTTATTGTTTTGGGAGGCTCCATCTGCCGCACGGCATGAACCTTGTTTGGGTTTACCTCAATTTCTTTCTTGGATACCACATATCGCTTGTCTAATTTCATAGCAAATGTACACTTTGAGGGGTTTAACTTCATCTGTGCTTGACATAGGTTCCGAAAGGTTTTGTTCAGGTTGTTAATGTGGTCTTCAGATCGTAAACTCGTGACAATCATATCATCGACATAAACTTTGATGTTTCTATCGATTTGAAACTTAAACACGACCTGAACTAATTTTTTGATATGTGACGCTAGCATTTTTCAACCCAAACGGCATCATGACCTAACAATAGATTGCATTCCCTGCATAAAATGCTGTTTTTTCTTGGTTGTCCAACCATAGCTGAACTTGATGGTATCTTGAGTTAACACCTAAAAAGCTCATGTGCTCATGACTGGCTGCACGCTCTACCAACTTCTCAAAATTAGGTAGGGAGTGGGGGTCTTTGGGACACACTTCATTCAAATTTGTGAAATTGATGCGCATTCTCTACTTCCCATTAGGCTTTTTAACAAGTATAGAGTTGGATACCCATTGCGAATATTCAACTCGTCTGATGAAGCTGGCCTGTAATAGCTTTTGTATTTCTTCATCTATAGCGGCTTGCTTTTTAGGGCCAAAAAGGCGACGTATCTAAACCATTGGCTTCTTTGTAGGATCTATATTGAGCTTGTGGACTATAAATTCCATTGGGATTCCTAGCATATCATTTGTCGTCCACGCGAAGACATCTTGGTTGGATTTTAGAAATTCTAGGAGCTCAGCCCTTTGTTTTGTTGTGAGCTTGGTTCCAATTTTTACTGTATTTTCTTGTTTATCATGGTTCAAAGGGACTGTCTCCACCGGTTCTATTGGCTCAGCCTTTTGCTCTATCTTTTTAGGTTGATGATCTATGTCTGAAATGCTCATTGTTTGAATGCCTGGTTGGCTCAGGTTGGAAACTTAAGAGGGTGACACCTTGGGTGCTGTTGTGCACTTGACCTTCTTGAATGTGTCTTGATAGCATGTTCTAGCCATCTTCTGGTCTCCCTTGAGTACTCCAATCCCATGGGAAGTTGGGAATTTCATACCGAGATGTGGCTAAGAGATGACGGCCTTCAGTTCATAAAGTGTGGCTCTCCCAATTATAGCATTAAAAGCAGATTCCATTTTAACTACCAAGAAGGTCATTGATGTCATCCTGAATCGTGGTTCAGTACCCACATAGATGCAAAGGGTGACCACTCCTTCAATAGGAACAGGTTGATTGTCAAACTCGTATATAGGCTCTTCATATTTCTTTAAGCAAGCTAGGTTCATCTGCATCTTCTAGAAGCAGTTCCAATATAAGATGTTTGGAGAGCTGCCCGTATCAATGAAGACCTTATTAATGTTGTGATTGGCTATGTGGACTATTGCCACAAATGGGTCAGCGTGGGGCATCATAACATCAGGTTCTCCCTCTGATCGCTTGTAGTCTATGGGGTTGAATGTAATGGGTGTGTTTTCCCATTCTGCTTCCTCAAACGACCGCTTTAAAGGCTTGTTCTTGTTTGCAGTCATTACTTGACGAGCATAGGCTTTACAACCTCGAGCACTCTGACCTCCTAAATGCATGCCCCCAGAGATTATGTTTATTGTGCCTGTAGGCGGAGGTATTCCAATATAGCCTACCCCTTTATTGTCTTTTTGGCTCTGAGTAGTGATCCTCTATCTTGAGCCTCTCTTATTAAATTGACGTCCTTTGTAGCCTTTGCCGAGCTCAAAGGGAGGCAGATTCCCTTGGTACATTTTTTGATTATTGTCGACCTGGTACCCCTGCCTATGAGGTTGATTGTAATCTTGTACATAATGGGTTTGACCAGGTTGTTGAGTATAAGATTTCTGGATATGTTCCCGTTTCGTGTTGCAAGCAAGAAATTCCAACTTGTCCTTTAGACTTTGGCAGTTGTCTGTATAATGGCCATATCCACGATGGTAGTCACAATATTTACTCCTGTCTACTTGTGCGGAATCATGAAGAGAGGGGGTGGCCCCTTGACCCAGTGTTGGATTTCTGCCAAGATTTGAGATCTCGACGAGCTCAGAGGAGTATAATTCGCATACTTTGGAAAATTAGGTGGTTTTCCTCTCTGATCGAAACTTTTTTTTTTTTTTCTTGTCGTTCGTTTCTTCTAGTTTCTTGTGTTCTTTATTCTGTTTATTGTTAGCTCATCATTTAGATGACTGAAAGTCTTCCGATAAGATGAAGCTTGCCGACCTATCATTCATTTCATTCCACGACTTTGGTGAATTTTCTAGCAAGTCATCTAGGAATTGACCAGGCTTGAAGCTATGTAACAAGGCAGATACACAAATGGTGTCAGGGACGTTATCAATGTCTAAGATGGCCTTGTTGAACCGTTGCATGTAGTAATGATTCTCTTTCTTTCTGATGTACTTGCATTAGCTCAATGGTTGTGCGTTTTATTTCTCGTTGACTCGCAAACTTATTAGAGAACAAGGTAGTGAGCTAGGAGTAAGAAGTTATGGAATGCCTACGAAGCTTGTGGTACCATCTCCTAGTGGTCGACTTCAAGGTTGCAGGGAACACTTTGCACATCATAGCGTCAGTTGCGTTCTAGATTTTCATGATGGCCTAATAAGTGTGCAAGTGTTTGTTTGGGTCACCAGAGCCGTCATATGTTTCTAAGTAAGGAATCTTGAACCCTTCCTGATATGGTTCCACATAATGTATAGGTTGAGAAGGGCACTATCTAAATCTAGAGCTTGTTGACGCGACCACGGACTCTTCAGCTCATCAATAAACTCCTATATATCCTTAAGTTGCTTTTCGGGCTCTGCATTTTTCCTCATCAATTCCTTACTATGCTTTGACAAGCTGGGCTCAAGATTTGACTTCCCACTTCCCCTCGACTTGGTCAGAACCACTACATTACTCAAGGCTGGGGAATTGTGGGTTGCAATTTCTATTGGTTGCTCACCCCTATTCAACAAAGGAATCAAGGGGTCATCAGGGATTAGGCGGGAGAAAATCCTTCCCATGGCCATTTCTAGAACTTTGGTTCTTTCTTCTAACTTAGACGTCTGAGCAGATTCTATGAGTCCTCCACGCCATGAAGCATTATGTCTAGGGTGCCTTCACCTTGTTTCTACTGGAATCTAAAACTACTCTTTAGGCTGGGTTGCATACCCAGTAGGTGTTCGCTCATCCTTTTCACCTACCAATTCACATTCAAAATTTAAACTTCCAATTTTTCATTTCACTTTAATCATTTTAAATGATAAAGGGTACTGTTTGTAAAAATTTTGCTTATAAAATCATATGTTTAAAGAATGCAACCCCATTTGCGTGAGAAAATATGGACGCAAATAGAAGCAAAATTGATGCAAATAGAAAAATGAATGTGCCAGTTAAGTAAATGCTGATTTTGACATTGAAAAGTGCGACACAAATGTATTTACATCAACATGAAAGAGCCTAACATTGATATTTAAAACAATTGC